TGTCCACAGGGCCAGTTCAGCTCCTTCATTTCAGTTCACCATTGAATCACTAAAGCCCATAGCTGCATTCCTTATTCCCACTGAGTAGACCTCACTCAGACAAGCAGCATTCAGTGAAATAAATGTGACTGTGTGAAAGATGGATATTCCACAAAATGGGTTGCAGATTCATGCTGAGAGACAGCAACTCCTGGATTCATCATGAACTCAAAGACGAGATTCTTTTTGGGATATGACTGGCGAGGGCCTTACAAAACTTCCATTGCATGACCCAGTGGTGAGACACTGGCCTAGAAGCCGAGAAACCTGGCTTGGTTCTGAGTTTAGCAGCAAACCTAGTTTGCAGCAGGCAGAGAATCAGAAAATGATATATGTCTTGTATATCTTCTTTAAAGCAATTTCTGAAAGACAGTCTCGTTTTTGATATTTCTTTTAGGACCTTTCCATTTTGTCTTTCCCTGGGATGCAGCCATTAAGGATGACAAGCAGTAGGTAATTGTTAGTCATGGTTTTCATACTTACAGACATCTCCATTTTACTCAGACTCAGCTTTACCTGTGGTGTCTTCACACTGTCTACTTATTGCTGTCACTTCCAAGCCTGGGCTGTCTCACCTGTTTGTCTGAAAACTGCATCATCATTCAATGACAGCAATTTTTATGGGACTAGGGTATAATGAAGATCATGGCTGAAGATACAGTGTCTCTCATAGGCTGGAATTCACGTACTAAGAATATTAAACTCCTTCAGGATTCAGAGTAAATTTCTAGTGAGACTGATCAAAAACAGTGCTGTGAGCTTCCCCAGGAACTAAGGGCTATTTATACTTCTTGGCACAAGTTACACTAACAAATAAATAAAACCAAGTGAACTGGGTTATGATATTTCTCCTATGTTTGGAACTTACTGAATTCCAACAGAGATAGCAACCTTTGTCAGTGATGCAAATATTTTTTATCTGTCACATGGAAATTCATGTCTTGCTTTAATATGGGAAATTAAAGACCGTTCCCAAATTGTTTTAGTGCCACAGGGCTGGTTCTTGCACAGAAGCAGCTCTGTTATCTACAAAATTTTAATATGGGCTTACTAAATTCGACTTGCATCAGCATACATAATACATTTTATGATATTTACATCCTTCAGGAATTTAGGAGACTAGAGGAGAAAACAAAATTTAAAAAAAAACCCAACCTGCATACAGTCTTATTCTCAGCTCCTCACTCTCTGGTTTCTTCTGTGACCTTACAGTTTTTTGCAGTATTGATTTGTAGCATTTCCTAAAATGTTAGTTCTTTTCTAAAGGTTCTGCTGTCCTTTTCCTGGTTTAGAAAAAAATGTTTTAGTTATAATGAATGATTCATAGCTCCTGCAGATCATTCAGGGACGCCATTCATAATTAATGATTAAAATGCAGTAATAAAACATGAAATGTTTGAAAGTCAGCAGTGACGCCTCTAAAGGTAGATCTTTGACAGATACTGCTGACAGCATCAGAAACTCTCCCTCTATATATATATATTCAAAGACAATAATTTTGCTCTTTCTTTCTTCCACTATTGCATTCTTTCCCTTGCAGGCATCTTCAATATTCTAGCAAGCGACAGTTTGTCTATAATTTAATTTAATATTTTTCTTTCTTAATTTACATTTTCATTCATTTTTAGCCTGCAGTGATTATTTGCATGGAAAGAAATTGTCTTCAAAGTCTATATTTAGCCTGATATATCGGATTAGAAATGTAAGCCAATCATCCAATGAGGTTAATTTTAAATCCTGTGGAAATTGTACCACTCTATTCAGTTTTCTCAGCACTGATGCCCATCTTGTTTGAGGTCATATGACATTTAACTCCAATGTCGAATGTAGTTTCCCACTGAAAGGAATACTTGCAATACTCTAAAAAGAGTATTTTTAGAATTTATAAGCAGAAGTCTGAGCAGATTTTTTTTTTTAAGCTGATGACCTGAGGACTGTGATTGTGTTTTAAAATATGCAAAGAACTAACAGAAAAGTCAAGGAAAAAGAGCAGGAACTTGTGTTTATTCTACTTTTCCTACCACAAACGGTATTCACCAATTCTTACTTCAGGGTCACCCACCAACACTGGTAGACCTGCATTTTAGTCAGTGCTGTATTTATTATATTTAGTCAATATAAATTCAGTTTATACTATTTTCAAGTTCTACACTGCCATAACTGCATCCTTCCACCTCGTTCTCCCTCTTCAAAAAAGCCAAACATTTTGGATTTTTTTTTTTAATAACGTCACTGTTTTCTTGGCACTGACTGTCTAGGGATGACTATCACATTCATCATCCCCATCAAATCTATTTATATCCATTGGTTAAAATTCAGCTTGTGATCATTGAGCTGCAGATGGAACTCCCTGAACAGCAAAGGAGTACATGCATCCGTGCCAGGAACAGTTGGAACCACTGTGGAGAGGGGGCTGAGAGGATCTGTCATCACACAGTCTCTATCCCTTCAACCTCAGAGAGCTGTCAAAAAAAAGCAAAGACTGCTACCTCACCTATGTATTAGTGTCATTAGGGCTTTCAGTGGACTCAAGAGAAACCTGATTTTTCAGGGCTTTTTGCAAGGTGAGATGAATTTTACAAGTAATGGAAGACAATATAGGAAGTACATGTGATTGTCAAACTTCTAAGGAACTACTAATGAAATACTAAATAGATGTAATTTTAAATTATGGAAAATGCAAGTAGGAGTAAATGTGGTTTTGCAGCAGAACTTGTTAAACAAGAGACTGAGGCAGTTCTATTCGAACCTCTAAACTTCTGGATGATCTGTGACAGGGATATTTTTGTTTTCTAAAGCGTGAGATCACTTGAATATTTCATTTATTGAAGTGCATGAACAGGAGCTGAAGAAATGGTTTTAAAAAGGAGGAAAGACCTGAGAGTTGGAAAGGTCTCTCCTCCAAGGCCGTGAGCCACTCAAGAGGATCCTCACCACTATGCAGGGCTGCACTGGTTTCATGAGGGCTCCAGGTGGACATCAGGGTGTCTCTGCATGGAGCACTGCAGAATTAGGCTAAACCAAACATATTTAATATTATCTCAGAGAGCTAAGCTGCTTATCTCTGTGTGACAGATAATACATTATACAGCTGAGTGGCTAATAGATTAAACAGAGAAAGGCTGATGGCAGGGCATTTTCAGCTTCTTTGGCTTATATTCTCCCTCTAGGAATGACACTGTGAACTTGGAAGGTGGAGGCAAGTGTCTCAGCTTCCTCTCAACTTCCAGATTTCTCCAGAAAACCTGCTTTAAAATATGTATAAAGCAAACTCTGTCTTCTGTATGCAAAAAATTGAGCAATCCTAAAAGTCATTATGTTTTATAAATATTGACATGAATGGATCTTAACCAGGAATAAGGATTTAATAATTAGTTATATGTATTATTAAAGGAAGTCAGTCAAATGTTAAGAACTCTTTAGTTTGGTTCTGAAATTTCAGCTTTCAGTTTCAAAAAGGGGTTCAATCTACAGAAGTACAAATGAAATATCTCTGCTAAAGAAAAGGTATTTGTATATAGTTATACTGGTGTGCACAAGTCATCAATGATCCCTGTCTAGAATGCAGCCTGAGAAGGATCAGGATTTCACAGTTGTAACTATTGTCATAAATGAAATTAATGGAATTGACAAGCTAGCAGCATTTGCATGAAATAAAGTGGTATTTTTATTTTCCAAATTTATATTTTAGGAATCTGTTCTTACTTACTTCAACCATTCCAGACACTGGAACTCTGTCTCCTTCCCTGTTAAATTGTGACATGGCTTTTGTGGATCAGCTAGCACTCTCCCCAAGGATCTCCATGCACACTTTGGGAGGCAGCACAGGCCAGGGCACACTGCTGGTTTAGATACAGCAACACCACTTCAGAATCACCGAATTACAGACTAATATAGTCTGAAAGGGACTTCTGGAGACCATCAGTCAGACAAGATCCTAAAAGTAGGGGCAACTAGATTGGGCTGCTCAAGGCTGTGTCCTGTTGAGATTTTATCTCCAAGGCTGAAGACTTCATCACCTCTCTAGGCAGCCTGCTTCAGTATTTGACCACCCTTGTGGTGAACAATTTTTTCCTAACATCTGCTCAGAATTCCCCACGATTGCAATGTGTGTTCAGCTGCCACTCATCATCCCACACGGCACCTTACAGAAGAGTCTGGATCAGTCTTCCCCACACCCTCCCGGTAGGTAACAGCAGACAGAGGATCCCAGGGTACATTACTAACTCATGTTCAACTTGTTGTCCACCAGGATTCCAGTTTTTTTTCTGAAGAACTGCCTCCTGGCTCATACTTGCCTCCTGGGGTTGCTCTGTCCCCAGGAGTGACAGTGGAGCCGGAGGGTCTCACAGGCTGGGGCCAGCTCTGCAGTGCCTGCAGAGCCAGCAGGGCCGGGCTGGGGCAATGGTGGGTGCAGCCCAGACCCTGTGGTCGCCAGACTGATCCACAACCACGGTGCTGCCTGTGGATGAGCTGAGAGATCCTGTCTGCAGGTCAGTGCCCTTGGCACAAGACAGGCAGCTGAAAGCAGCTCCCAATGGCAAGGGTTGGCCCTGATTGCAACTCCTCCACAGCACACTGGAGAGCTCCCGCCAGTCGCCAGAGGTCAGTCTCGACTGCACGGGTAGGGATCTCGCCCCAAGCCCAGCAGCCAAACCCCAGGAGTGGAAACATATACCCAAAGCCCAAACAAACTCCACCCCTTGTACAGCTGGATAATAAAGACATAAAACAATAATGGCTTCAGTCTCCATCCCTGATGGATGTCTCTAGCCACCAAGCAAGCCCGTGTGAGAAGAGACAATTGGAGCAAAGGAAGAAGGACGAATTTAAGGGAGGGACCACGCTGTTTCCCACCCTTCCACAGCTTTTAAGGGATGGTTTTACTCGCACAGAGGCGGGCAGGCCAGCTCTCTGCCTCTGCCGGTGCTGAAGCCCCATCTAGAGCATCGCCGCGCTACTGCGCCCGCTGCCCCGCCGGGACCGACACCGGCACCGGCAGCGCTTCCGGGATGCCACAGAAACCCGCCCGTCGCCTTTGAGGGAGGGGAGAAGGGTTAAGAAATCGAAGACAAAATGGTCTGCTCGACAGTCCTGCGCTTCTGCTGTCAGGGTCCTTGGCAATGGCACGGCGGTAATTTGAATTTCAGGCTTTGTATAGAAAAAGTTAACGCTGAACCCGCATTTTCAGCAAAAAATATAATCGCTTGGGTAACTACAGGCAGCTTCAGCTAGCAAGTGTCATCAAGCAAACTAATAGAAACGCTGCTATGGGATACTAATGAAGGAATTAACGGATTAAGGGTTTATTAATGTCAGTTGGCACAGTTTGCCAAGAACCCAGAATATCAAACAAATTTGATACTGCTTTAATGAGATTAAGCATTAGACTGATAATGAAGATTGTGATTGAAATAGTGTCTTTACCAAATATCTGACCTAATCGTGCATTAAAAAATGGTTGTAAACAAAATCAATGTAACATATTAAATGTTAATTTTTAAAACTGGTTAACAACTAGGTGAAAAATAGACTATAGCTGAAGTGTTTTCATTCCCAGGCATTGCATGGTTTGTGAGCTTATAGAAGGATTTTTTGCATTAATTTTTTCAATTCATTTATCAATGCCCTTGATAAAAACATAACATTACTGCACATAAAACTTGCAGCATGACACACAAATTGCTAGTGTGGAAAACAATAAAGGTAACAGTTCTATTATATAGACTGACTGATCAATTGTTGAGATAAAAAAAAATGTCCAGTTTTGTTAATTTAGATGTGATCCCAAATGCAAGCTTATGCACCTAAGAACCAAAAACAGAATTAAATTTCTAGATCTGGGGCTGAGTGCTAAAATGCAATAGGACATGACAAAGGAAGCCCATCAGAAGAAGAGGGACTAATGAACAGCAGTTGGGTGCTGATGCCACAATAAAAGTCCTAATCAAAACATTGCATAAATGAGAAATCAAATTATACAGTGTCTCAGCAGGACAAGTGTCATCAGCTCCAGCACTCCTTGTCCATAATATGTATTCTGGTATTACAGAATCCCAGAATGGCTGCAGTCATGGGAAGCTCTGAATATTGCCTTGGTCAACTCCCCACCTGCTCAAGCAGGGACAGCTAGACTAGGTTGTCCAGGAACGTGCCCTGTCAAGTTCTGAGTGTCTCCAAGGATGAAGACTCCTCAACCTCCCTGGAAAAACTTCTTGTCTTTAATCACCTGTGCAGTAAAAGGTGTTTTCTTGTGTTTAAATGGAATTTCCTTTATTTGAGATTGTGACCATTGCCTCTTGTCCTGCCACTGGGCATCACTGGGAAGAGTCTGGTTCCTTTGCCTTTACTCCCTTTGCCTTACTCCTCCCATCAGGTATTTATGGGCACTGAGGAGACCCCCCTGAGCCTTCTCTTCTCCAAGTTGAACAGTCCCAGTTTGCTCAGCCTCTCCTTGCACATCAGATGCCTCAATCATTTCATTACTTCACTGGACCTACCTCAGTATATCCATGCCTGTCTTCTACTGGGGAGCCCAGAACTGATCCCAGCACTCCGAAACTGCTCCACCAGTGCTGAGCAGGGGGGAAGGGCCCCCCCCATCAGCTGACAGTGCTCCCCACACACAGACCCAGGTGCCATTGGTTGCCCTGGCTGTAAGGGTGCCTTGCTGGCTCATGTTAGCGTTCATACATCACGCAAGAGATCAATACCTAACTACCTCCCAGCACAAGTACTCTGTGTCACACACATACCTGGTCCAGACTGGAAGTGACCTCGGAGCTGTAATCCAGTTAAAACCATGAGGTTAGCTAATTTCAACATCCTGCTTTTGAGAACCACTACAGCCTGCTTCATCACAGTTATTTCATCAAGTAACAGGTAGTCCTTGTCAACTGGGTATCACAGGTTGTTCTTACAGTGCAATGAGGACACAACTCACCATTTCTGGCAAACACTGCTATGGTAATTTAGCATGATACAATTTCTCCTTCCCTGGAAGAGCAGCTTCAGTCACCAGTGAAGATTAATTTGATTCAAAATAGCAGATTTACTCCAGACTACCTGAGATACAGCCCTTCACCTCCTCCTGTAGGCTCTCATAAGAGCAGTCACCAGCAGCAGCATGGCAGAGCAGGCAGCTGGGGTCACTCATAAAGCTCCTACATCTCTTCCGCTCAGTTCATCTGGGTAAAAGCACTCCCTTTTGCTGTTAAAAAATGTGCACTTTCTTGCTTGGAACTAGTTGCAACTTCTAAGCACTAAGGTTCCCTGCACCTTTTTACTGATGGACTAAAAGACATCTACCAGGAGGAACAATAGAACTGACCCTCAAACAATCTCTCAACCTTTATTTGCATCTTCTTTTGGGTGTTTCTCATTGTAACACTGAGTTTTATGGACCCCTGGTGATTCTTGAAATGTTTTTGAACACCTTTCCTCAAGTGTGGACACCACAACTGCCTATCTTATTCCAGTTGACAGGTTAGACTTGTGGCAGAGGAAGATGTGATGCCACTTTCCTCTCCAGACTGGTATCTTCTGACAGCAACCATGGAAAGGACCGGACTAAATACCCAATGACCAATACCTCTTTATAATTTTTTAATTACTTTAAGTAAAATGAATTTACAATCCCGGTTACAAACTGACCTTTTCTCCAGTTCTAGACTGCATTAAACTCGTGAGCCTGAAAGGTGCAGGACAGAAAGAAAGGAGCAGAATCTGCTCTGTGGAACAGGTGAAACACACAGTCCCAAATCCATTCCTTCCTCAAGGAAGCATGCTCCACCACCACCTTCTCCTGTGGGCTAGTAGCTGACTCATGACAATTCAGACCGTGCATCCAGCAAGAGGGCCAGTCGTGACACTGTGTTGGGCTTCCAGAAGGTTCCCCACCACTGACCAGAAAGAGATAAAGCAAGTGAGAGTAAAGCCTATTTCATCCACTTTGTTTGGATGGGAGTTTCTCCCTTTTTATTGATGATATGGGTTGTCCAGAGGACTAGCCCCTTGAGCCCAGTGTTAGCCTTTGCAAATGTCCCTTGTGCAGCCCTTCAATTTGTCTGAGCAGGCCCAGGATTTTTCTTTGACTACATGAAACATCCCTCACCTGCAGTCCAGGTTAGTTCAGTCACTGAACTTGCTTTTCTGACAACTATGCAGTGATTGATCTCATTATTTATTAGGTCTTAGAAGAGGATTGACAATTTTGGTTGTAAAATAGAGGAGGGGAAAAAAAACCATCCAGAAAGCAGACTTCATCAATCAAAGCATCCTTGAAGCTGAGTATGGAGACACAACATGAATAGTATAATATTCTAGCTTTTTGGAGAAAAGAAAACAAAACCATTAAACTACTGCAAACCCTGAGAAGGCAAAAATCATGTTTGGGAATCATAGAATATCCTGAGCTGGAAGGAACCCACAAGGATCATTGAAGTCAATGTTATTTAATGCTAATAAAGAGAATTCCAGTAAGCTAATGCATACATTGCAGGAGCTTATGCACTGCAACTTGTAAAGGCTCAAAGGCACCCTAAATAGGATTTTAACAAATCAAGGTCATGAAGTCAAGAAATGCTGTCTCCAAGCTGCTGTTCTAATCAGTTGTGTCCAAAGTGCTCAAGGCACATGTTCTGCACAGAGGCATCTCAGCCTTCACAGTGATTGGCAGCTCTGAACATATCACATAGACAACTTCAATCTGCCTACTCTCCCTTAACAAGTTTGACTTGGGAGGCATATCCAGAAATCCAAGGACCCAAGTTTCAATTCCCTCCTCTGAGTGGACACAAATCCCTACCTCGTACTTGCCCAAAGACTGTGATACACAAGACTGTGAGCTGAAATGGTGGCAATTCTTCCTCCTGGGAAACATTCCATTTTGGAAAAAAAAAAAAAAAATATTGGTGTCTAGAAGTGGTGTGAGTCATTTAGGTCTCTTTCTTAGTTTAACACTAATAATCAAAATGTGTCTATATTTTGAATACAGATTTCTTTTTTTTAAGGGGAAGATTTTTCTTCATCCCCACACAATATTTGTGTAACTGGAACAATATAACTGTTTTCAAAGCAGTCACATTCAATACTGAAGCCAAATTTATTTTGACATAACATCCGTTCTCTTTACTGGTTTCAAAGATATATTTGACCTTATTCTTCCACAACATAATTTATATCACTAAACCTTACAGAGACAGAACAAAATTCATTTCCTATCCTAGCAGCAGAAATTAATTTTAAAGCCAAAAGAGATGGATGTTCAAAAGCAAAACACATTGCTTCTGATTAAACAATTTGTCAAAATTATTTGGTCACCACATTTTTTTTGTCAAAGACTAATACACATACTGTGAATATGAAATTGTAGATTATGCAAAAGCAGCAGAAACAAGTCCACAGATGCCACGTTTGTCCTTCAAAAAGTGGTTTCCCGAAAAAGCATTACTAAAACCTTCCAAGAACAAATGCAGTATTTAACATAAAACTGCCAGATCCTGAATAATACGTCTGAAGTTTTCCTCCCAGTAGCTTATGTCTTCCAAAGAGAGATGTCCTTAAGCTGAAACGTCTCCTTCAAATACTTTTTTTCTAATCAAATATCCAATACTTGCTCAGCATCTTCTCCACCTTCCCAGGCTGTACTGGGGTTTTTTTTGTAATTTAAATTGCTTATAAATTGCTCGTTGCTGGAGCATGAGCAGTTACCTTGTTTTAATTTGGGCCCTTGCTAAAACACAACATGAGAAGTTAAAACTTCATATTGTAGTATTGGAGTACCTTATTTTATTATGTGGAAGTGTTAATTCATCACACTGTAAATTACGTTCCTGTGATTCTCCAGCAAACGCTTTTGTTATTCACCTGGTATTTCTCCACAAGGCAGCTGTGAGCTCAAGATCCAAGCAGGTATACTAACACAAAGAATTATAAGAAATGCCTAAAATCTCTGAAATCAACTAGTGCTGCAAAGTATATGAAAATGTTTCTTTCATTGCACTATACTTTCCCTTTAATATTTCCATATTTCACAGCCTTGGAAAATTGTATTGTTAAGCAAATGCCCATGAACAATGTCCAATGCTTCTTTTATACATTTTCAAGTTCAGCTGAGTTCATCGAAGTCCATTCTCTGGTGCCTGTCAGAGACACAAAAGAGGTGTCAGGAGCACTGCAGCAGCTCCAATGCCACCATGGTCAGAAAATCCCCAAGAAAATCCCCTTGAGGGTGTTGAAACTTGTCATAGTATGAGAAGTGACACCAGAAGACAATCTTTCAAGGAATTATAACACTAAGTCGTAAAAGGTGAGCAGTTGCTACTCGGCCGATGGCTCAGGAGCACTTGCGAAAAGAAACAGTGGAAAGGTTTTGGATCCCTTCAGGTGCCAGGGCATGGGAGACAAACTCTGAAAGTGATCTTGGGCTTTTCATTTCTCAAGGTGGGTGAGCCTACAGTAAGTGAAGCATCTGGCCTCCAACAAAACCACAGCTTATTTTGACACATGTATTAAAAAGTACAAGGACACCATGAATATTTATAACATCACAATAGACTGTCATTTAATTTTATTTGTATTAGAATTTGAAATATTTTGATTAAATGATTACAGATAATTGAGAACAAAGGGAATTGTGTGCTCATACACAATGTATCTTGAATGCAGGAGAATATTACAACATACATTAAGAAAAAAACCTTCAGCTGGACCATAACTACATCTATACTCATGCTCTGATAGAGAGATCTCACTGACCTTGTAGGCCACCTTTATAGCAGTGGAGAGAGGGAATAAATTATGGGTGGACTCAATGATCTTAAAGGTCTTTTTCAACCTAAATGATGATGTTATTCTGTTCTATAAATATCTGCCTTGCTACTGGGAGCAGCTGCCTGAACAAGCACTCCTGGCTACCCAGACCTGTGGAACTGCCTTGAGCCAAAATCTCTTTAGTATAAACTCACTGACTTTAAACAAAGATTTTTTTGCAAGTGTGAATGCTACCTTAGGTATATATGTAGGGAGATATATACTAAGTTTATGCATCTGTTCCAATGTGCAAGGCAGTATCATATAGCCTATTCTGAGGGAAAGCATCAGAAAAAGTGAAAGCTCACGGAGCCAAAAGGGATCTTCTTTGGTACTTCATACTCAACCTGATAGTTTTCACCAGCCTTTGTTCTTTTGCATAAACTGAGTGTCTAAACCGAAATCTCACTGTGAATTTTCATGCCATGCTGTGCTCCTGGTTAAAGCAAGCAGCATGTCACTTTGGCTCCCTCATACCTCCGTGCATACTTTAGGTCACCATCATCATCATGGCTAGGCTTCGCGAACGAAGATTTGAAAGGGCTCTACCCACGCTTGCTACAAGCGCGCTGATGGCTAACCACTTCTTCAAGAATTTGTGGTATTGAAAGCAATACCATGAAGATTTTCCCCTTCCAAATTTGATCATCTTTGTTCTGGCAATTCATGGAATCCGTTGTATCCATCACAGTCGATACACTCGTTGTAACAGTTCCTGCCCCACATGCTACAGCCATTGCTGTGGTGCAGTGGAAATCAATAGCATGTTCTCTATGCGTCAGGGATTCACCGTCGATATTTATGTATGACAATTAAATGAGCACGGGTTCCACTCCTCTCAATAAGCCTGGGGCTTTTATCCCTGTT